TATACCCCCGACCCTAAACTTTTTTTTGGGCAATTTTCATATTTTTTCCAGAATTTCCCCCGATTTCTGTCAATGGCTCCAGTTTAAGTTTTAGTTTCAGCAATGACGGCCTCCTTGCAAAACATAGTGCAAGTGTTTAATAGTGTTAAATCCAAAGCAAGCTAGCATGTAGGTGTCCCCTACCAATATTGACTAGTATATTATCACACCACATCTAAATGCCATTTGCAAAGCAGTGATAGGTATTATTTAGAAAAAATTAAGAAAATCATTTTGTTAAAAAAAAAAAAAAAAAAAAAAAAAAATCCCTACCCAGCTACCCTAATTTTTTTGGAAGTGTAACCGGAACCACACATATTTTTTTGTTTGGCCTTATCAAGTTCAGTAAAATATACTCGAATGTATCATTCAAATTACTCTTTTGACATGTTCCCTTAAGTGTAAAGTCTGCAGTTCAAAGTCTGCATGTTGTCAGGTGTCTGAGATTCCGAAAATGTTCAAGAGTGGGAAAGGGCGCTATACCTCTTTGCATACTTCATAAAACAAGCGCCTATGAAAAGCACTACAGTAAAGCACAAACATGTTTAATGAATTGACACTTACAATCCCAGTGACTTTAAAATATATTATAAACTTCATACATATATGTAAAATAAATTATAACAAAGCATACTCATCTGTTTCTTACACTTCGATCAATATACATGTAAGCATGCTTCACTTAAGTTATAAATTTGCATCTAAAGAAGGTATTTCCCCTTCAGAACAAGTTATAAAAAAGCTTAAAGTCAGCATGATGATAAATCACTTATGGAACATTGATAAATAATTAAGGATTTAAGATATTTATTTTTTTTATATACATGTGTTAGTATGGTAGTATATGATACACAGCTTCTTTAATACTGGCTTGGGCTAGTGGGTTAAACTTGTACCTCAATTGCAAGGACTAACCTAGGGGGCGACTGAGGCGAAATAGTCGCTTTTGAGCTCCAAACTTCACCTGATTTCTGCTTTTTCCTAGCCATAGTGCTCAGGTGAGCGATGTGACCCCTGGGCCTCTTGTTTTTAAAAAGTTTAATAATGATCAATGTGTGCCACGTGCGTCAAGAAGTCTCCCTAGAATTTAAAACTTCTCCCTTATACATTTCTCTGAGGGACAAGTGAAGTCTCCCTAAATTTTGGGTCTAGGTTGGTCCCTGTATTGATAGAACACTGGACTGACATGCCAGAGATGGGTTCAAATTCAGTCATTCAAAGACACAAAATTATGTCTCTAGACTAGTAGTGTTATAATCTTATATATAAATATTGCTTTTTTAAAGGGTAGAGGTGGGATGATATACTGATAAACCAATACATACCAATATTTTCTGCTAAGATACGGTTTATGATATATGCATTGAAATATCAGTACGAAACGATACATGAACAACCTATCAAAAAATTGAAAATGGCCGCTTTTACCAAGTGAAGAGATGATATTGGTATTGTAAACGCTCTTTACAACTAATAAGTCGTAGATAAGAGGGAAAACATTTTCACTCTTGAGCATCCTCGGAAGATGGTTAGGTACTGTACATAGAAAAGTTCAGTATGTAAAGCATCAGAAAGTATCTTTGTAAAGCATCAGAAAGTATCGTTTCCACAACAGTTAATATTATTAGTTAGTGTCCATCTGCACTAACAGCCAGTAACAAAGCATGGATTCTCAAATTTCGTTAAAAAGAATTTGAAATTTTGAAACAAATTGGAAATTACCCTTACTGGAGAAATTGGGAAAATCAGCCGGGGTCTGGGGGCCACTGTCACTGGACAAGCCCTGCTGGGGGGCCCAATTTCAGCATTTTAATGACCAGTTAGAGTGCATAAAATAGCAAAGTAAACCATTTTTCACATAGTCTGAAAATTTTTATAGAAGAAAAAAAAATATTTGTGCTTTTCATTATTGTAATGGGAATTTTGTACTCATCAAAAGGGGAAAATGGGATATTCAGGGAAATTTTCTCTTGAGGAAAAATAAGTCCGAATATCAGTAGTAAATATGCCTAGAATATTGTTTTGTAAATTTTTAGTCAATGAAATTGATGAACTTCAAGTATCAGTTTCAAAGCACATTTGATTTGGTTTGTTTATTGTTTAATGTCCTTCTGGAGAATTTTTCACTCATATGGAGACGCCACCACTTGCCAGTGGAGAGTAGGGTTGGATACCGTTAAGGATGAAACGGTACGATACCATACCGGTATTTTTGAAACGATACGGTATTTTTAACGATACGGTACTATGCATTGATGAATAAGAATGAGGGTTCATTTTATAACAAATGTGCTTTTACCATTCACTAACCTTTCAATGATATAATCTAAAATGAGCTTATAAACTTTGTTCCATGCTTTTAAGATATAAAAATAGATATTCCTAATATTCAAATTATAAACATTTCATTTCAACTTTTCAATAAATAAATGATCAACAAAACAAATCAATTGAATCCCAAACAAATTAATTTGCACAAATCGGCCGACTGCTTCACCCGGTTGTCAGGACCCGTGATGTTTGGTCACACTAAATGACGAAACATTAGATAATGGATAGATCACATTTTTGTGACATTTTGCCTTTTTAATTTACATTTATTATCAGTTTTTATCTGTAAAAGATTCATGTGAATGTATTTTGATTTTTTAAAAAAAAAAATTTATACGTACGGTATTGATTTACCTCGAATATCGGCAGTCGAAAGTAAGTATCTTTCTAAGAATCCATTTCGTTACATGTAATTAGCCTACCCTTTCAAAGAGCGGAGAATTCGATTTTAGCAAGTTTGGAATGTTTATTTTTAAATCAAATTGAATGAACTAAAATGTTTTAAAGATTAAGAAGTATCGTTATTAGTACCGGTATTAAAGGAAACGGTATTTTACCGGTATTTTTGAAGTAACTATTCGGTACGGTATTGGTACCGAGTACCGGTATCCAACCCTAGTGGAGAGCTGCAAATTTTGACCTATGCTTGGCACTCATTGCCATTGAGCAGTGAGGGATCTTTTTCGTGCCAGCACCTACTGTGACACGGGACCTTGGTTTATACGGTCTCATCTGAAGGACCGGTTTCCACGTCCCACAGTGGGATTCGAACCTGCGAAGTAAGGATCAACTCCTTACTCTGCAACTCTAGAGCAAACGCTCTAACCACTGTACCACGTGGGCGACCACATTTGGTTTGATATAGAGTGATATAGAATCTTGATTTATTGTCAAGTAGACAAATATTGAAATAAAATACTAAATTTTTGTGTCACCTGCAGAGCAGAGCGGCACTAAGAGATCACTTTACCAGGTGTCTGTCTGTCCGTCTGTCACACCCTATATCTCAAGATCTGTAAGAGGTATGGATTTGATATTTTGCACATATATTGCTTGGCACTATGGCTTTTGTAAATTACCATGGTTACCGACCTCTTGACCTTTGACTTCTTTTCAAAATAGTTCATAGGGCCGATTTACAGCATATTTTTGACATTTAAAAGGTATTTCTATGCCATTTAGCATGTGCACTGTTTGTTGTAACACAATATGAAAAATACCAGCATTACAATCCACTTGACCTTGACCTTTGACCTACTTTACAAAAAATACCTTGGGAGTTTAGTTTAACTTATGACTTTTGAAATTGAGAGACAGGATTTTGATATTTAGCATTTATACATGTTTATGAGCTCATGATACTGTAATTTGAATCTGTATGATATTCAGTTACCACATAAACTTATATTTTAATAAAATACTATGCAAATACATTGGGACAAGGTATTCCACAATGGATCATGTTAAGACTGACAATTGCTGTAAAGATAGACTGAAATCTCTTTTGGAGGATTATTGGAAACACATTTAGCTCATGATAAAGTACTTTGGAACTGTATGAAATTCAGTTAACTCACATGTAAATACAACGAAAATACATTGGGATCAGTATTCCACAATGGATTGTGTAGAGTGACAATTGCAGTAAGGACGGGCTGAAATCTGTTTTTGAGGATTAATTGTTGGAAATAATATGTATTAATAAAATGATAAAAAGATATTTCTAATAATTTCAATTAAATTATTCATTTGAGGGTTAAAGAACCATATATTCTTTGATTGTCAGATTCTATCGGAGTCTTATACTATCTGTGGGTGCAGTTTTTCTTTGCAGGGAAATGCATGAACTATCGTGCTAAAAGTAAATAAAAAACTGACCAATTTTAGATTTTTTTTTCACCTTTAAGGAAGCTACAGAGTAGGCAACACATGTTCCTTTAAACACTCTAGTTTTAATTTTATAGTTTTCATATATATTTATTATAATATCGAGATATTTATCATATCATGTTATATGTATTGAGATACGTATTGTATCACAAGATCTACCTGTTTTGTCCCACCCCTTTAAAAATGTTTGCTTTTGATGAACTTTATTGCTTTGACGATGATCATTCATCTTTTTTGTACGTACTGTTTTCGCTTTTCACGTTTTTTTTTTAAAAGTACATGACGTACTGGTATAATTTAAAGATTGTGACCCCTTGAACTTTTGAGATTTAAACCTTTTCTAAAAAAAAAATTTGAAATATTGTTCATGTCAATAACAAATAAAGTTGCAGACTGGTGCAAATTTAAGTATCATGTACACCATGTACACAACAGGTTTTCCCGGTTTTTCTTTTCTTCTTCAATGAGTACCTGTATTATTCAATCCCAGATGTTGGACTTGATCTCGCCCCTCCAGAAAAAGCAAAATGTCTTTTAAAACTATCTAAGTTGATGCAAAGATTACAAATTATATTTTATTTCTTAAGTGTGTCGAGACAGAGTTAGTTGTATTGAGAGCTCTGACAAATTATATTTGCTATTCGGGTCAAAAATCGGTGTTGAGTGATGTAGCTCATAGACTTTTCTTGTAATCATGGGTAAAAATATACACATATACTAATGAAAAACTATTATTGCAGATTTTGGAGTTTTCACAACAAGAGCAAACTTAAGGCAACTTTCTTCTTGAAAATGTTGGAGACTGAGACGCAGATGTTAACAGACAACTCTGCATGGAATTGGAGGATAAGAGTTTATAACTGAATGCATTCTGTCTGGATTTCTGTATGGTGACAGAAGGCTTTGGTAAGTCAAGATAACTGTAAAAGATCATAAGTAAACAATTATCATTTTGAAATCTATGCTTCCATTACCATAAAAAAATATTCACTGACCTCATTTGCTGACCTCATGGTTATTCAGTCTTTGAAATGTACTTTTTTGTTTTCAGTTGATCTTACTTGAAAGGAAACTCAAATTAACTTTGTGCTAATTTTAGCCCTTTTTTTTCAAATGAAACCCTAAGTCACTCAGATAAACTATTTGCTATCTGCTTTTGTCCATCCTTCTTTAACATTTGAATATTTTTAGCTTCTTCTCTGGAACCGATGAACCAATTTCAACCAATTTTAGCAAAGAATATCTAGTATGATGAAGGGGAACAAAAATTGTGAATTTCATTATCTCTGCCACCCCTTCCCTTTGGGCCTGAGGGATGGGGCTAAACCCATTAAAACTATTGCAATCTTTAAAAATCTTCTTTTTTTTACTCCTGGAAATCAAGCAGTTGAATTGCTGCCATGGTTGAATAAGCATTAAGCCCTCTATCAAAATTTTGAAATTCATTGCCCCAAGGTCAGGGGTTCCGGTGTAAGGGTGGCACTCCATTGATTAAATATGGTGAAAATGCATTATTTCTTTGAAAATATTCTTCTCTGCTCCTGGATATGAAGCAGACAGACTAAGTACAAAGTTATGATGAGCACCTCTTCCAAAATTATTAATTTCATGACCCTTGGATAGAGGGTTCTAGTGTTAGGAGGGGCTTTAATGATAATTACATGTATAGTTAAAATGCATTAATTTTTTTGAAAATCTTCTTCTCTGTCTCTGATTATTAAGGGGAAAAAAACTAAGTGCAGGTTATAATGAGCAAGGGTGCTTCTTCAAAAATTGTGATTTTCATAGCCCCCAGGATGAGAGGTTGGAGGGTGTGGTCTATGGATAATACAGGTATAGATTTCTTTGAAAATTTCTTTTCTGCTACTAAGTATTGAAAACAATACTAAGTTCATGGTTATGATGAATAAAGTCGCCTTTTCCATAATTTTGAATTTTATTCCCCAAGGGGTCAGTAGTTTTGGTGTTAGGGCAGGGCCCTATTGGTTATATAGTGAAAATGCATTATTTCTCTGAAAATCTTCCTTCTTTGATCATGTGCATCAGGTTACCAATCTTACTACATAGTTATGATGAGTAAGAGTGCCTCTTTTAAAATTGTGAATATCATGGCCACTTGTTCTGGTGCTAAGGCATGGTTCTATTGAATATACACTGAAAATGCATTAATTTTTTGAAAATCTTTCTTGCTTCTGGGTATAAAGCAGATAAACTGAGCCCATGGTTATATTAATCAAGGGTACCTCTTCCAGATTTGTGAAATTTGGGTCAGCAGCTCTTATGTTTGAAGATGGGGTGGTCTATTGAATTTGTATAGTGAAAATTCTTTAATATTTTTGAAAATCTTTTCTTCTCCTGGGTATTAAATAGACAGACCATAAAATGGCAAAGTGCCTCTTCCTGAGTTCCAAAATTATGAATTTCATGGCCCCAGGGTCAGGTTTTTTTTCTTTCTCTTGCCCTTAGATTTAGTTTTGCTCAAATCATGACCCCTGGGGGCTGGGTAGGGCAGGACCACAATGGGAAATCAAAGTTTTACAGAGGAATATATTGCAAAAGATCTTTAAACATCTTCTTCTTGAGAACAGCAAAACCATGAGTAGTCATATTCATATGGGAGCATCCTCAGGTAGCACATATTTAAGTTTGTTCAAATTGTGAAACCCTGAGGTAACAGTTGAGTGGGGCCACAATTTTGGATCAAAGATTTACATAGAAAAACATAGGAAAAACCTATAGATAAAAATTAGCTGTTCAAGAAAATAAAGCCTTGGTTAGTCATATTCATATGGTTGCATCTTCAGGTAGATTCAAGTTTTTTTTTTTCAATCATGATCCCTTGGGGTATAGAAATGGCGTAAAAAATCTATGCAGAGTGTTTAAATGCCTTTTAAAATTAATTCTGATGTAGAATTTTTTTTTTATTTATCAATCAGACATTCAGCTGTATAATACACTGTAGTGTACATACTGATGCATCAGTTGAAAAAAGTCTTCTCTCAGTATGTCATTTTTAGCTCACCTGAGCTGAAAGCTCAAGTGAGCTTTCCTGATCACCTGTTGTCCGTCTGTCCATCTGTCCATCTGTGAACTTTTCACATTTTCAACCTCTTCTCAAGAACCACTGGGCCAATTTTAACCAAAATTGGTACAAAGCATCCTTGGGTGAAGGAGTTTAAATTGTGAAAATAACTGACCAAGCCCCCTTCCAAGGGGAGATAATTAAGAGAAGACAAAAATAGGGTGGGTCATTAAAAAATCTTCTCAAGAACCACTGAACCAGAAAAAAACAAAACTTATGTGGAAACATCCTTGGGTAGTGTAAATTCAAAATTGTTCAAATCATGACCCCCGGGGGTAGGGCGGGGCCACAAAAATGAATCCAATTTTTACATTGAAATATGTAGAAAATATCTTTAAAAATCTTCTTCTCAAGAACCACTTTGCCAGAAAAGCTGAAACTTATGTGGAAGCATCCATGGGTAGTGTAGATTCTAAATTGTACAGATCATGACCCCCAGGGGTAGGGTGGGGCCACAAAAAAGAATCCAAGTTTTACATTGAAATATGTAGAAAATTTCTTTAAAAATCTTCTTTTCAAGAATCACTTGCACAGAAAAGTTGAAACATATGTGGAAGCATCCTGGAGTAGTGTAAATTCTAAATTGTTCAAATCATGACCCCCAGGGATAGGACGGGGCCACAAAAGGGAATCCAAGTTTTACATTGAAATATGTAGAAAATATCTTTAAAAATCTTATTTTCAAGAACCAATGAGCAAAAAAGCTGATTCTAAATTGTTCAATTCATGACCCCTTGGGGTAGGGCGGGGCCACAATAGGTATTACAAGGGGGAAAATCAGATGAAGAAAAGCAAGGCCAAAATTACTCAGGTCAGCGTTGTGGCCCATGGGCCTCTTATTAATTTTACCCTAAAAAATAAGCACTATTTATATAATGTTACCCATTGCACAATATGTTGTTAATGATGAGTATGATGAGGGTAACATTACTACTGACTTGTTAAATGCATTAATAAATTCCAAGGGTTTCATGATTCAGTCATTCAGAACAGATCACTTTAACCTCCAACTTACTTCAGCCAAAATTCTTTGTGAAGATATAACCATGTTGATAAATATTGAATTATCAGAAAATTTTACAATATGTACTAATAAATGATTGATTATAATTGAGAGTAATCAATTGGTTTAAGTTAAATCCATCAATGATTAAATTAACACCTATACCCCTATGATTTATAACTTTTACCTCTCTTTAATCTACTTTTCAGTCTATGCGAAAGACATCAGACCGTCGAACCTGACCGATGTGCAGTGCTTCTGGCCTGATGTGTCAATTTTTACACCGGACCGGAATGTCTGATGTCTCAGTGTCCGGTTTTGAGCTTAACTATTTCGACGCAGTCATTTCAATGTTGTTTTTTTTTATTAGTAAAAACTGTCGTACAATTCCAAATACGTAATTAAATGTCATTAAAACTGCATGGACTCTACAGAATTATGTGGGAGTGATCCCTGGTAAAAGAAAAGCTGTTAGGCCTACTCAAGAGGTTTTTTGGTCTGACAAAATTTGGTTCAGTCCTTTGTATTCATTGCATTAATTAAAAATTACACAGGACTGAATGTCCAGTGTGGTCCAAAAAACTTTCGCATAGACTGACTTATAAGTTCTGAATTGAAAACAGTTTTATGCAAGAAAAAATAAAAATTTGCAATAAAATTCTAATTTAAATCTAGTTAAGGAAAACTCTCTAAGCAGCATATCAAACATGTTCAATGTGCATTGATTTAGAGGACTTAATTATGAATATTATTTGTATGTTTCAGTACATTTATATTATGATTGATTCTTTAAATTTTAGATTTGGTAGATATTTATTGAAAAAAAATAATTTTTATCTTTTATGTAAATCTATAGTAAAATAATGCATTGCTCCAAAAGCCAGTAGTGATAAATATTCCTCACAAGTCAAAAGTGATAAATATTCCCCACAAGTCAACAATGATAATAAATATTCCCCACAAGCCAACAGTGATAAATATTCCCCACATGTCAACAATGATAAATAGTGATAAATATTCCCCATAAGTCAACAGTGATAAATATTCCCCACAAGTCAACAGTGATAAAAAGTGAAAAATATTCCCCACAAGTCAGCAGCACAGATACTTATAGATAGGACCCCCCCCCCCTCCCTTAGGACTTGGACTTTTTTTTCAGAAATTATATTTATTACACTTATTTATCATGTGTACCATTTGAATAAATCTGTAAAACCCTAGAATAATCATTCCACACAAAAAATACCCCACTATACATTATAAGAGAGAAAGGTAAGCCTCATCATTTTTACGTTGTTCCCCCTGCTGGTCTTTCTGGGTTTAAAAACATTTATTGGATGTATGGTGGTCGAAAGTGTTAAAGTACCCCCCCCCCCCAATTTTTTTGGAGTTATTAAATTGTATGTTACAAAGCAAGCAAAGATGCAGTATTATTGGAGCTAGATTAGGTCACATTATGAGGTCACAATTTTTCATGGGGATAAAAAAGTTTCTGAAGAACAGCAGAGCTTAAATGACTCAAGTGAGCACTGTTGTACATTTGACATCTTTTAGAGCATCTTTATATTTAAGATTAGACTTAAGTTTATAGGAAGCTATTGATCTTAGGTTGAGTTGACTTCTTTTTCTCTTTGAAGATAATCAAGACAATCAAGAATTGGAGTGGCTAAGAATCAGATGGAGACCAAATGTCAGTTCACATGGAATACCAGGGTTTGCAAAGGAGGACATTGGAACTGGCTTAAGTATTCAAATTTCTGATGGCAGTTGATGACAGAAGATGTCATACTTAGGGAAACATTAGATTAAATTACTTTGAATGGTAAGACTTGGTTATTATACCCTGTAAAGTTCAGTATATAAACAAGATATACTGTAAACCAACTTTGACTTGCCTGCAAGAAAGATCTGCAATTTTCGCAACCTTCATTACTTGCAAATATTTCTCATTACAAACCAATCATAAGTTGTGACAGTGTATTATGGTAGAATGTTTCCTTCACTGCAAAAATTAATGCTTACTGTTGCAGATGGATTTCAAGGTACAGAATCCTGAATAAAAATTGTCGGGAATAATAGTTGGTTTACAGAATACATGATTGTGCAGTTGAACATAGGTATTTTGAACACTGATATCTCGAATACAGTGGATATGTGTGTAATTTTTAAGTCCCAATCACTTATTATATTTAATAAGTATTTAACCCTTAACATCTTGAATCCTCCCGATATCTCCAAGTTTTTCCACAGTTCCAATGATAGTTCGAGATAACAGGGTTTGAGTATCAGGGTTTGACATTTATTTTAACAAGTACTAGACATGTCAGGCTACCTTCCTTAATTTTTACTAACCATAAAATCACTTGCCCTGACCAATCTTCTTTTAATTGCTTATTTTAATTGGTAACTTTTGAAACTATCTCTTATGCGTGTCAAGAATCTGACAGCCATTTTGAGTCTGGTTCATTAATTGGGACATGAAAATTATGAGCCTTGAAGACATTCAACAAACTTTACTAAAATTATTATGATATCCTAAATATTATTAAATACAGAAAGTGTTATTTGGTAAGTATTTATACCATATCAATACGTTTCAGCCCAGACTTGTCTACTACAGCTAAAAAAAATACAGTGCTACCTCGGTATATTGCCCTCCATCATATTGCCACCCTCGCTTATTGCCAGGAATTCTTGAACAGATTTCCCCCTGTATTAATACACCCGTTATAATGCCACCCCTGCTAATTGCCATCTGCCACTGGTTTTGGGAAACAAAAGGTCAAATTATGTAAGAAAAAATCCTTGGTAACAATGCCAATTATCTAGCTTGCGTCGGTAATTTGGACACCACACCCGTGCTTTGACAGTGGTTGCGGTGAAGCGACTTGCTGGACTAGGAATTCAGCTAGATTAAAGATAATTGTTGCATAAAACTCAAAATTAGCAATGTCTTTGGAGTGTGTTTATAAGATAGAAGAATTATTTCATCACAGTAATGGAAACGTAAAGCGAAAGAAAGCGTACAAATTTAGATGACAAAAAAAAGGATTGATCAACATTCGACCTATTTGATTGTATATCGCCAATTATTGCTTATCATGGATAATGCACAAAACCATAATAAATGCAAAAAATCATTTGCGTCCCCTTAGATTAAGAAGCCATTCAATCATTCAACAAGAGGCCCAAGGGCCAGATCGCTCACCTGAGCACTGTGGCTAGGAAAAAAGGAAAAATCAGTTTAGTATTGAAAAGCATAAATGCATAAGTGGTCCCAACCTACCCCTAAAAAGGGAAGGGGGGGGGGGGGGTCATGATTTGAACAAACTTGAATCTACACTATCTGAGGATGCTATAAATATGACAAACCATGGCTTTGCTGTTCTTGAGATTTTTAAAGATTTTTCCTATATATTCCTATGTAAAACTTTGATCATACATTGTTGCCCCACCCTACCCCTGGGGGTCATGATTTGAACAAACTTGAATCTACACCACCTGAGGATGCTTCCACATAAATATGACCAATAATAGCTTTGCTGTTCTTGAGAAGAAGATTTTTGAAGATTTTTCCTATATATTCCTATGTAAAACTTTGATCGTCCATTGTGGCCCCACCCTACCCCCGGGGGTCATAATTTGAACAAATTTGAATCTACACCACCTGAGGATGCTTCCACATAAATGTGACCAATCATAGCTTTGCTGTTCTTGAGAAGAAGATTTTTGAAGATTTTTCCTATGTACACCTATGTTAAACATTGATCGTCCATTGTGGCCCCACCCTACCCCTGGGGGTCATGATTTGAACAAACTTGAATCTATACCACCTGAGGATGCTTCCACATAAATATGACCAATCATAGCTTTGCTGTTCTTGAGAAGAAGATTTTTGAAGATTTTTCCTATATATTCCTATGTAAAACTTTGATTGTCCAATGTGGCCCCACCCTACCCCCGGGGGTCATGATTTGTACAAACTTGAATCTACACCACCTGAGGATGCTTCCAAATAAATATGACCAATCATAGCTTTGCTGTTCTTGAGAAGAAGATTTTTGAAGATTTTTCCTATATATTCCTATGTAAAACTTTGATCGTCCATTGTGGCCCCACCCTATCCCCGGGGGTCATGATTTGAACAAACTTGAATCTACACTACCTGACAATATTTCCACATGAGTTTCATCTTTCCTGGCCCACTGGTTCTTGAGAAGAAGATTTTTCAATAATGCCATTAATTTTTTGCTATTTCATAATTATCTCCTCTTGGAGGAAGGCGTGGCCCTTCATTTGAACAAACTTGAAACCCCTTCACCCAAGGATACTTTGTGCCAAGTTTGATTGAAATTGGCCCAGTAGTTCTGGAGAAGAAGATGAAAATGTGAAAAGTTTACGACAACAACGATGCAGACGACGCCGACGACGACAGACAACGGACAAATTTTGATCAGAAAAGCTCACTTGAGCCTTCGGCTCAGGTGAGCTAAAAAGGAAACCCCATATCTTTTTTTAGACTACTATAATTCCGCACATGAAAATATTAGGAGTATCGTTAGCCTATCATGGATAATGCACAAAACCATAATAAATGCAAAAAATCATTTGCGTCCCCTTAGATTAAGAAGCCATTCTATCAATCAAAAAGGAAACCCCATATCTTTTTTTAGACTACAGTAACTATAATTCCGCACATGAAAATATTAGGGATATCGTTAGCCCTGAAATTTCCTTTATTCGTCAGGCATATATTGGTTTGATTGATAAATATCAAAACAGAATCGGAAGAGAAGTACGCAGGTATTAGCAAACATGAGCATACATGTCTAATTTAACGGGTTGACGTGTTCTGACATGTGACTTACCATTCGTCAGTCATGATGCTTTACCAACTGAACATTTTAACCGATTCAGAAATTCTTGAGACGGTGAAATAATCTACTTTTGATTCAGATGACATTAATGATAATTCTCAAAAACTTTTTTTTATACCAAGAGGCTATAACGGCCACTGACATCTTTGTCATCGGGTTATTAAATTCTTATTCAACATGTGCATGACGAAAGGAAATTGATGTGTTCAATATTCTGATATTTTTATTGCTTTTCAGTCAAAATATTGTAAACAAAAAGAAAAAAAAATAATAATGACTTTTTTTTCAAAAAGAAATGAGAGCTGCCCTTATATCATGTGACATAAATAGATTGTAACGGAAATAAATTACGTAATCTACGTGTATTTATTTTGTTTTGATTACCCATTGAATTGTAATTTATGGCAGAATATGTTATATTGCCACCCTCGCTTTAATGCCAAAATCTGTCTTGGACAAAAGTTGGCAATGTACTGAGGTAGCACTGTATTTTAAAAAAATTTTATGGCTAAAACGCAGCTAGGTTAAGGACGCCCATGAAATATACGCCGTAATATATTCAGGGAAAATGAATACAATTTTAATATTTTTTTTAACGGAATAAATCAACAATGCACAACCAGCTCCCAGCACTTTTAAGAATAGTAGGAATAATAGCTAGAAGTGTTTAAAAAATCAGAATTTATAGTGAAGCGGATATCGTTGAACTTTTGATATTTTCGAGGGGCTGGACCTGTCATTCTAGCACGTTACTGCACAAATTTGCTCCCTGTGGCTTTATATAAAGTCTACACATTATCAATTTAGTTTGAAGATAAAATGTGGATTAATATAATTCAGAATATGTCTCTCTTTTGGTCCGACTACGCGTGTTTCGTATTTATTTTTATTTTTACAAGCTACGATAAAAGCTTGATCCACGCCTCAAGTACAGAGAAATTGCGTGTCAAACTAAGAAATGACTTCATCTAAGTAAGTACAGCGAGATCAAGCTGGCTTTCATTCTACATAAGCTAAGTGCTATTATGGCAAGATAAGTTGCACATCCATTTATCTTCATAATATTTATGATAAACGAAAGTATTTAGTGTGTTTTAAAAAGAACATATAGTACTTATTCATCGAGATTCATTTGAATTGTTTTAACGTGACGTCATAATAGCTTTACTGAACCTCTGCATAGGCTGACGTATATATGGGAGTCCTTAACCTAGCTGCGAAATAACAATTGTGTTATGAAGGGAATTTCAACTTACAGAGCAATGGTTGTGTTTACATTTGTAAAAATAAGATATTTTTTTTTTTACAATTTTGAATATATTTATTCAAAAGACTGAAATGGAATTAACAGTTATCAACCTGACCAAAAGGTCTAGTTCACATACATTGCACACAACCATACCATTCATTTAACCAAGTTGGTCTGATGTGCCTTAGTGTTAAACCCTGACTGTATTATTTATAGATGGCAAAGTTCTTCATTTCAGATTACTGGTTAACCATTTTTGGGAGACATGTATCAGTACTATAAAGACATTTATAGATAGGTCTATAAATACAATGCATCAGAATACATTTTTATGACATGAATATGGTCAGGACATATAGAGTTTGTCATGTCTATCTTCCGTCTTTCTGTCCCTCCGTTATGCTTTGTATTTAGCACAGTTTAAAGCTCAGTTTCAAAGAAACTATGATAGGATCTTTTTATCAAACTTCATATGCTGATACATTTGGAGGAGAATTATTCAACTGCATCAACATTTCATGATCATGACCTTTCCTTTGACCTTGACTTACTTTTCTTAAATTAGTGTTTAGCTCAGTTTTAAAGAAACTCTTCAAGATATTTTTTATCAAACTTCATATGCTGATACATAATGAAGTAAGCTATTGAACTGCATCAACCATTTTTTACTTTGACCTTGCCAATTGCCAAAAAATTGCCAATGACCTGCTTGGAAACATTGATATTTTTTGTTAATTCAGATTTTTCTGCCCCCGCCATAAAATGGCCAGGGGAATATAGTGTTACTCTGTTCTGTCATTCCATCATTATTCACTTCCCGTTCATTATCTCTGCAACAGTTGGACACATTCAACTCAAATTTGACATATGGATATGTCATTTGAAAATGCAGGTCAAGGTCGAATTTGGTTATGGTCCGATGATTTTTGACAGAGTTGTTTGTCTTGAACTTAGAAAAAAATAAGAAATGTTCAGTTTCCACTCTCTTACTTTTGTAGGGATGTATGTATAAGGTTGAAATTGCATATGCAGGTATTTTTACCAAAAAATACAGGTCAAGTTCAAATTTGGTCATGGTCCGATGATTTTTGACAGAGTTATCTCTCTTGAATTTAGAAAAAATTAAGAAATTTTCAGTTTCTGCTCTCTAACTTTTGTAGGGATGTATGTATAAGGATGAAATTTTTTTACCAGAAAATACATGTCAAGTTTGAATTTAGTTATGTCCCCTGAACTTAGAAAAAAAATCTTTTGTGCAAACAAATTTAAAACAGAATTTGGCATTTGAAACTTATTTAACTGCCTGCAGAGTCATTTGTGGCATTCGACACATCTAGTTCATACAATATATACAATTCAGGACATTTCAAGAAATGTTAAAAATATGACATTTAAGGGGGGAGGGGGGAGGATTTATATAGCTCTTTTCATGTTGCATTACTAATATACCCACGGCTGGGCTTTCATGTTCTATGGACATCTTTCTGTGAGATTTCTAATATTTAAGTTTTTAATATGCTTATCATTTGAATGCCTTCCAAGTTCATGATTTTGTAGTTGGTATTTCACAAATACTCTGTGCCATTTAACTAACTTAGAATACTGCCAAATGCATTTTACATCTCAGGGGGTGAGGGGTGTGCAATTACAAAAATTGGCAACTAGTTGTATTTTTTGTTGATATTTCCTACATTGCTTTAAATGCTCATGACAGATGCTTTCTTTTCAGATATAAAAACATCAAACGACAGGGGAAAAAAGAGGACTGCCTATTTCCGATATATCGATCTCTTCACATAGCAACACCCAAAGCACTACCATCGAAAAATTAAAATCAATATTTAGGAAGAAAAAATGAAGACAATGATCATAAAGAAAAGAAGTAGGAAGAGTTTTGAATATTATGTCAAGTTGTCAACAACAACACAGATCTGGAAATGGATTTTCTTGCCTCATAATTTATATTAAGTGCATGTTCATGCATGACTTTTGATATAACTGTGTTCTCTGTATCAATTCCTCCATCATGTATACATGTAGAGCAAGGGCAATGTTGCAGCCATCACATCTTGTGTAACACAGCAAAACAACTTTTTATTGTTTGGATTTTAAATGCTTATGATTATACTTAAAATTGCAAGAAAAAGGACTGTACCTGTGTAAAGTACAATGCAGCAATATACAAAAAAGATTGTCAAACAATATTTTTGTCTTTGTCATTTGTGTCATACTGGTATACACTTATGTATTGGAGCATGAGAAATCAAAAAAAAAAATAAATAAATAAATAAAAATAAATAAATAAAATATTTCTTGATTTAAGAGATGAAGAAAGTTTTGGGAAGTCTTGGAAATAGTGTTTGAATGGTATATATTAACTATGTTGTGTATAAATCTGTACTTTTGTTAAATCAGAGTGCATATTTCTTTAGATAACTAAAAGAACTTAATAGAGCAATTTATCAGGTAATCATCCAATAAGTAATGCATTCATTTCATCTATATTTTGAGAATTTAAAGAATTTTTAAATCAGTGGAAATAATTCCTTATCTTTATACAGTCATGTATGTACAAATGCTTTCATGATGAAATGACTATGCAAAGAATGGAATAAAACAGGTCACTGTCTTGAATTGTTTACTTTATGCATTCATATCCAAGTTGGCCTGTGTGGAAGGAGAAGGGTTCATGAAATAGTATCCTTAAGGAGTATATACAGTACTTTAAAATGTTGAGCAAAATTTCTTTACTTGCATGTTGCCAGACATGATTAATTAATTATGAGTGTGAGGTTACAAACCGTATATTTAATTCTTTTATATGGAAATAATTTTAACTACTAACTTCAATTGTAAATGTCATGTAACAATGACACTTGTAATTGTCATGATCCCAGCAAGCACTTTGGTGTGCTGAAATGTATCAATAATAAAGAAAAAGGTTGTCTTGGAAAAAAAGGAACATATTATAAGGATTATTAAGAAAAAATAATATGAAAGAAAGCAAAGGTCATCACTATTATTATGTGAATTAATAATCTTAGCTCTCTGATTGGCTGAGATCCAACATGATAGAAAAAATACAACATGAGCATTAAGTTCACCTGCATGTGACTTTCCAGGTGAAAATATTATACTTATTGCTGTTTTTGATGTCAATACGATGATTTAGACACCCGAGGAGTACATTATTCACTGAGCCCGAAGGGCGAGGTGAATATTGTACTTCGAAGGTGTCTAAATCATCGTATTGACCTCAAAAACAGCAATAACTGTTTTATTATATGATTATCTATTTTTGGTCCAATGTAGAATAAATAATTCCTTATATTGACCTGGAAATAATTCCTTATATTGACCTGGAAGGTCACGTGCAGGTCAATATAACGTAGTATTTTTCTAACATTGTTGGATCTCGGCCAATCAGAGAGATGGGAATTATTCAATCATATAATAAGAATTTTTAGCTGCAGTAATGTAGCCCTCTCCAATATTTTTCATCTGATTTAAAAAAAAAATATCGGAGAGGGCTACATTGTTGCAGTTAATGAATTTTGTCTACATTGGACTAAAAAATAAATTGAGAACTTCCTAATTGATAAAATTAGAACTGAAAAGTTATTTCACCCGTAGAGGGAGGGGGGGCACTTTTTTCTGAACGATGTCTACTATCGGTTAAGTATAAAATGTTCGTGGAAAGGCTTTTTGCTCTCCCCTCTCCCTTTTTGATACAGTATGATATTGTCACAGGCGACATTATGTACCTCCCATAACTCCACATATTGTCATCTGTCGGTATATCTTATTGCAGGCGACAACAAAATTTGCGTACCCTGAATGCACATATTAAGATAATGCTGGTGATAAAGATGATGATACTGATGAGGAAAGTTAAGAAGGCTTGGTAGCAGACAGGTTGTACATACATGTACATATCTCTTTAATTTGAAATATCTGAAATATCTATCTAAATTGCATCCTACTATTAATTTAACTTTTTAAAATTACACTGATATCCAATGCTTTTGAAGATTTAATCACATACATGTAGCTTCTATGGAGGCAGGTTTATTGAGAAGACTTTTAATCAAAAGGGTCATGGACCACAAGGCTTACTGAGAAACTTTTGGCCTGTTGTTCTACATTAAGATCCCCCCCCCCCCCCAATATACACTGTACATGTAATCGGATGTAAATTTCTGATCGCCTTTTGTGACCCAACCCAATATACAGCGGACGTGATTTGATAAAAAAAAAAATGAATATTTCTAGTCTCTACCATTGGATTTTTCCTCTTTAGTACGGTTCCTTATGGCTTTGCTGTTCTTTTAAAATCTAGTACACCAAGTAAGGAAGCTTCCACACAAGTTTCAGCTTTTTTTTTTTTTTTGGTCTTGTGGTTCTTTTTGTTTTGTTTGTTGTTTAACGTCCCTCTCGAGAAGTTTTCACTCATATGGAGACGCCACCACTTGCCGGTGGAGAGCTGCAAATTTTGTCCTATACTCGGCACTTACGGCCATTGAGCAGTGAGGGATCTTTTTCGTGCCAGCACCTACTGCGACACGGGACCTCGGTTTTTACGGTCTCATCCGAAGGACCGGTCTCCACGTCCCACAGTGGGATTCGAACCCGCGACGTAAGGATCAACTCCTTACTTCGCGACTCTAGAGCAGACGCTCTAACCATGTCTTGTGGTTCTTGAAAAGATTTTAATGACCCTACCATATCTTTGGCTTTTCTTGATTATTTTCCACAAAGAGTGATTTAAAAAGTCACTTGAGCATCCAGCTCAGTTGAGCCAAAATTTGGAACCCCCCCCCCCCCGACCACCACCATAATTATATTGGCACATGTATAAGAATAGCAAAAAATACTATCTAGATACATATTACTACTGAACTCAAAAACTATATATAATGACAACTGACAAAAGAGAATATTCAGGAATTCTGAAATCTTTTGTAAATCATAGTCGTGTACAATGATCCTTGACAAAAATTTTTTACCACAAAATTTTCTCTTTTCTTTTTTGCGAGTAATTCTACTGTCTGTCTGTCCATCTGTCTCCCTCCGTGCGTGTTTGTATGTGTCTTTTTGTCAATCTCTTCACGGCCCCAGTAAATATTCGCTATTATTACACGATTGAATAATTCCTATCTCCCTGATTGGCTGAGATTCAACAATGTAGAAAAAAAAATGCTACGTTATATTAACATGCATTTGACCTTCCAGGTGAATATAAGGATTTATTTTCTCTACATTGGTCAAAATATACATGTAGATCGGGAAATTGATACCAATAGTTTTGGAAAGCTATGTCACGTGCTACCGACTTCCACTCAGGTGAACACATCATTAGGGAATATATACATGTAATTTGGGGTTGGAATGGTTTTGGGGTGGAAGGGACCCCCCCCCCCAAACACTTTTTTGTGAACGTAAATTTTTACTTTTAATTTAATTAGAATAAAAACGTTCATTGAAAGGCTGGTCCCCAACTAATGGTTCTTAATACCCCACCCCTAACCCCACCAAACCCCAAATAAAATTTGAAGTAAATAGAATTCTATTTTCGTGGGGGCTAATCAAAGATTTTCCCTGATAATGCCCCTATTGTCCCCCCCCCCCCTTCCCCCGCCAAAATCGATCCTATCAAAGAGCCTGACATTATTTCTTTTATTATCATTGCAACTAAAGTTGATTTCAAAAAATCCAATTTAATACGACCGGTAACATTTATTTAATTCTGCTTCTCTCATTGCAATTGGCTAGTAACAAGTAAGATGGCATGAACTGCTTAAAGATTTCATATCATTTCATCATTGAATTATATATTAAAACAATCATTGCTGTTTTTGAGATCAATGCGATGATTTAGCCACCTTAGATGTACAATATTCATCTCGCCCTTCGGGTTCAGTGAATATTGTACTCCTCAGGTGGCTAAATCAAAAACAGCAATAATAATTGAACGAAATAATTTATCGGCGACAAAATGTGCAAATGTTCAAAGTACATATTGTCGCCGACGACAGTATGTGCCGATGCTTGACTGTACGTTTAATTCATCGTACATTATGCAGAAGGAAAATAAGGAATTGTCGCCGGCGACAAGATGTACCGATGGACGACAATATGTGCAATGGGGGTAGGTACATACTGTCGCCGACGACAATACGAACAGAACGACAATATGTACAGTCACATTCCTTCACAAGAAATAAAATTTGGAATTTGGAAAAAATTTTATACCCCCACCCCCCAGGTTTCAAAATCGATGCAACGTGCCTGATATTTTTTTTTTCAATTGTATTAAAAATACAGAGTCAGAAATTCCAAATTAATACAACTATATAGTTATTTTTATTTTATCTTCAGCAATTGTAAACAAGAAAGGTTGCATGTTAGCTTAACAAGATTGTATTTATTTATTCAATCATTGAATCAAATAATAAACAATTATACAGTTAAACTAATAGGTATCTCGAACATTGATATCTCTAATACCATGGATATGTCGAGGTGAGATGAGAGTCCCCAATTCTTTTTTCTATGCATTTTAACCCTAATATCTCGAATCCTCCGATGTCTCGAGGTTTTTTTCTTGGTCCCATGGAGGTCGAGATAGCAAAGTTTGACTGTAATGTTGTTTTTCCAAGTCAGTACGATGATTTATACACACATACAAGTTATACCCCCGCTCCGAATGAGAAGGAGGGGTATACTGTTTTACCCTTGTGTGTCTGTATGTCTGTCTTTTTGTCTATCTGTTGGTAACAAATTTTTGTCGCAGTTTTCTCAGCAACTACTCACCGCATATGCTTAAAATTTTAGCACACTCTTTCTTTAGGCAT